CTGGGACCGGCTGAGCTTTTCTGCCCTAGGAGCCTGGGATGGAGGTGGGGAGCTTCCTTCCGGGTGCTGGGACTGGCTCACCTTCTCTGCCCTAGGAGCCTGGGATGGAGGCGGGGAGCTTCCTTCTGGGTGCTGGGACCGGCTCACCTTCCTGGCCCTAGGAGCCTGGGATGGCAGCAGGGGAGCTTCCTTCCAGGTGCTGGGACCGGCTCTCTGATTGTGTTTTCTTCCAACACCTCAGCTTTTGTTGCTTGAGGGGAGGTCTTGACTTTCACTTCTTATTTTGCTCTAAATTTATATTGATGAGACCCAAGAGCCCTCCATATCCCCAAATCTATGGGGTATTTTTTCTAGAGTTGGTGCACTGATATCTTTAGATTTGAATCTAAATTGTTATCTTTGTCCAGTTATTTAGCATCTCTGTTTCTTTGTTTTCTCCCCTATAAAGTAAGATTCAGTGAGGAACAAAGAAGTACTGCATATAAAGTGTTCAGCCTAGGTCCTAGCAGAAAGTGCCTGATAATTGTTGGATAGTAGCATGAATTCAGACTGGGAATTTGTTTTTGAGTATGTTTGGGTTTTTTTGTTTTGTTTTGTTTTGGGGTTTGGGGGTGGTTTTTTTAAGACAGGGTCTCACTATGTGTTCCAGGCTGGCCTCAAACTCACTGCGATCCTCCTGCCTCAGCCTCCTCAGTGCTGGGATTATAGGTGTGCACCAGTACACCCAGCTAGACTTAATTTCACTTAATATAATGTCCTCCAGTACCATCCATGATACTGCAGATGACAAAATCTCTTTTTTAATGAATTATATTCTGTGATGTGTATAGTCTACATTTTCTTTATCCAGTCATCCTTCAGTGGACATCTAGATTGATTCTATATCTTGACTCTTGTCAGTAGTACTGCAAGAAATGTTCAAGTGCATATCTCTTTGACATACTGATTTGAATTCCTTTGTATGTGTCCCTTGTAAAAGTATTGCTGGATCATATGGTAATTCTGCTTTTAGTTTTTTGAGGAACCTCGATACTCTTTTCCATGATGTTTGGACTAATTTACATTCCCACCAGAAGTGTATGAGAAGTTCCCCTCCCTCCATATCCTTGCAGTATTTGTTACTTTTTCATAATAACTATTCTAACTTGGGGAGATGACACCTCATTGTGGCTTTGATTTGTGTTTCACTGATGTTTAACATTTTTTCATATACTTGTTGGCCATTTGTATATCCTCTTTGGAGAACTGTCCATTCAGATCATTCACCCATTTTTTAAACTCAAGGTTTCATTATTAGTTGTTTGAGCTTATATATTGTAGAAATCAATGCCTTATTGGATGAATAGATGAATAGTTTGCCAATATTTTTTCCTGTTCTTTAGGTCATATCTTCACTCTGTTGATTGAGTAACTCTTATGCTATAGAGAAGCTTTTTAGAGTGATATAATTCCATTTGTCAGTTTTTGCTTTTGTTGCCTAAGCTTTTTTTCCTTTTTTCTTTTTTTTCCCTGGTACCAGGGATTGAACTCAGGACCTTGTGCTTGCTAGGCAGGCACAGCACCACTGAGTTAAATCCCTGCCCCTGTTGCCTAAGCTTTTGGGGTCATATCCAAAAAATCTTTGCCTAGACCAATTTCCTGAAGAGCTTCCTCTATTTTCTTCTAATAGTCATAGTTTTGAATCTTACACAGTATTAAAGTCTTTTCTGGTTTCTAGTTGGTCTCTAGCCAGTGTTAGAGACCAAGAGTTATGTATAATATTCTAGAATTATGTATAATATTTCAAGTACAGCATTGCAACTTTCCATTTATGTTCTGTGTATATTCGGGCAAAATTTCCTATTTGACTCTGGTTAAAGATATTTAAAATTTTTATCTAGCTTATTTTCAAACAATATAATCACTGTTTTAATCCCTTAATGAAATATTCCAATCAATTTGTTTTGTTTCATAATGATACTGAAGATTGAATCCAGGAAGCACTGAGATATATCTCCCTTTTTTTTTTCTTGAGACAAGGTCTCACCATGTAGTTTGGGCTGAATTTTTTTTTATTAAAATAATTATAGGGCCAGGGATTTAGCTCAGTGGTTCCACCACCTGCTTCACAAGCGCAAGGTCCCAAGTTTGATCCCCGGTACCAAAAAATAAAATAATAAAATAAAATAATTATAGATTTACATGCCATACTTGGTTGGAATTTGGACTTTAATGGAAAAGCATACTTTAGAATTTTTTTAGACAGAGAAAATGGCATAAGCAAAAGCATACATACAAGTAGTTTTGTAGAAAATATTCAGGAAACACAAAATCCTATTTGGTTAGATTAGTAGTTTTAGATCTGAAGCTCTCAATGCAAAATCTTGGAAGCATTCAAAAACTACTGATGCCTGAGCACTGCTTTAATAGTTCAGTTGTAATAGATTTAGGTGGAATGATAATCCTGAGCCAGAACATGGAGTATTATAAAGGGAAGGAAGGCTGAAAAGGTGTTAGAGAACCTTGAATGTTAAGCTTAGTACAGAAGTAGTATAGAAATAGGCATTATACCTTTGATTTCTGGGTCCCTACATTGTTGCTTTGGCTCTGAATCACCACAGATGTTTGGGCACATTCTGTTAGGGAGCATGTGAGTCCGTGCTGAGTGAGTGACCTGGGTAGCAGCCCCTCAACATTATTCATCCAGGATTCCTGAGGCTAAGTATGAAGTGGAAATGCCACAGTTCCTTTCTGTGGTATGTGGGAGAGTCACCAGGGCTACCTGACAATCAAGACCTTAGCAGGGCTTCCTTGTTCATTTAATTAGTTTGATGAGGATCCTAAAGTATCATTTTTTATTTTTGTACCAGGGATTGAACTCAGTTCCTTGCGCTTGCACAGCAGGAGGCGAAACCACTGAGCTAAATCCCTAGCCAAGCATCATATTTTCACTTGTCAAATTATGTCAAAATTTGGGGATAAAAAAGAGTTTAGAAGGTAGAAAAGGCAGCTATATACCAACAATAAATATTTTAACAAGTGAAAAAAAAAAGTAGTACGGAAGTATTGGGTATTTGAGAGAGGACAGTTCTTATAATGAGAAGCATGCCTAAGGAAGAGTCATTTAGTGGTGTTAGGATCAGTATTAGTACACATCTGATGAAAGTAGGTTAGGACTGTAGTAAGTTAGGTTGAGGCTACCATAGTATAGGTGAGAAGCTAAGCTGCCCAGAACTAAGGTGGTGAGACTGGACACAAAAGTTGAGAAAAGATGCCATATAGATAAAATCTCTAGAATTGAAATAGTGCCGAAAAGGAGATAGAAGAGTGAGAGATGACTGAAGTTGATTGGGAGAATGGGTGAAGTGTGTTGCCAGTTACAGAAATAGGGGAGTTAGAAAGAAAAGCTGATTTAGGAAAAAGCTAATAATCCCAGGCTTGGAGATGTTGCATTTGGGGAGCCAGTGGGCAGACTAGACGGAGGTGTCCATCATGTGCATTAGAGATTCTCAAGAATCCCTGTTCCAACCTAGATTGTTTCTCAGAGATAGAAAACAAAAGACCCCAAACTCCTGGCCCTCTAGTATTTGATGAATCATCTGATGCCAGGCCTGTATAACCATTTGTGTTGTTACCAAAGTACTTCCCTAAAAGTATTGTCATGTTGGAGTGTTAGCATAAATGTACTGATAAATGTTTTGCTATTAAAAAAAAGTATTGTCATGTTGAAGGATGCATGTGGTTAATAAGAGAATTAAATCCGTGGTGTGTATTTAGACACTGTTGTGACATAGGAACATGTGATTTCATTCATAACTCTTTTCTTTTGCCAGAGAGATGGAAGCAAAAGTCACTCTGCTTAATGCACCTACAAAGAGACCAAGGTAATGCTCAAGAAACTCTTGAAAACAAATATTGTGTATCCTAAATTCCCACCAAGGGGCTCTTATTTGTGTCAGTACATTATTTGTTTCTAGTAGCCTTTGGTATCCTTTCAGGAACCAACATCTGCTTAAATGTCAGATAGTCATTTCTGAGAACATAAATGCTATAATTTCACCCTTACATATGAAGTGCATATCATTATCGTGATGAATGTTGAAAAGTGTAGGTGTTATACATCAGACTGGAATCTGGGTTGGCTGAGCTGTGATGAAGCCCTGAGGCTTTGCAAAGCCTGCTATGAGAGAGGGTTTAAAGAACATATTTTCTCATACCATAATTGGCAGTTCTTCTGAGGGGACAGACTGGAAGCAGTCTTCTTTGATATTTTTATGTTCAGTGTGCCTTTGTTCTGGGGGTTGCTGGCAGGTCAAGCACCGTGACTGAAGCACCCATTGCTGTGGTAACATCACGAACCAGTGAAGTCTATGTTTGGGGTGGTGGGAAATCCACCCCCCAGAAACTGGATGTCATCAAGAGTGGCTGTAGTGCTCGGCAGGTGTGCGCAGGGATTACCCACTTTGCTGTGGTCACAGTGGAGAAGGAACTGTACACTTGGGTGGTAAGTGAGAGCTAAGGACTTTGGAACAGTGCTATAAGCCTAATTGCTTACTGGGTCCAGGGTGTCTAAGCATTTTATTAGTTGAACACATACTGCATGACCACAGCATGGGGTAATGAAATGTAAGCTCTTGTGAGAGCAGAGATGTTCATCTGTTCAGTTCACTGACGTATCCCCTATGCCTGCTACATACTAGGACACCTATGAATGTGTTCTGAATGAATGAGAGAGCCAGGGAGAATTGAAAGAGCTCTAGTGGAGACAGGGCTCTTCCATTACAGCTGGATGAGTTCAGACAAGTCACTTATTCTGTGTTATTATTGTAAAGTTCTAAACAGCTAGTATCTATGAAGTAGCTTTATAACAAGTAAAACACTCTACCATGCCAAGAAGCCTCCAAGACTCACCAGTGATTGAAGATAGCTAGGTATATCTTGCATAGAATTTGCCTTTGTTCCTCTCTATATTCTGCACTCGTTTTTTTAAATTTTTGTTTGTTTTAATTTTTTTAACATTTTGTTTGTTGTCTAGTTCCTCATCTGTCATCCTCTTCTCATTCACCTACACTTACATTCACCTACAGTGCAGCTTCCATCTCTGCCACCCACTTGAAATAAGTCTTTTCTTTTTTTTTTTTGGTACTGGGGATCCAACTCGGGTCCTTGCGCTTGTGCAGCAGGGGGTAAAACCACTGAGCTAAATCCCCGGCCCAGTAAGTCTTAATGAAATGACTTATAAATTGCTAAAATTAAACAGTTGACTTTTAGACCTTACATAACTTGACCTCCTCTTTGAAGCTTTGTGTTTACTTGGCTTCCATGATAGCATGTTCTTGTAGCTTTCCCCTGTTTCTGTGATTTTGCCTTCTCAGGCTCATGATAGGCTGCTTTCCCTTTACTTCACCTTGTATTAGGCTCTTGGTGCCTCTCCCTGGGGAAGCTTATTATTCTCAGTGGTTTCAGATATCTTCTCCATGAGCACAAGGACTGTGTTTGTCTTATTCACTGTTTTATCCCCAGTAGGTAAGAATGGACACTCAACTCTGATTGATTGAAAGAATGATTTGGCCTCTGTTATACAGTGTTGACTTGCTGTTATGAATTAACTCTGGGTTATTCCCAGAAGTACTCCCATCAGTGCTTTGAACACCATTTATGTAAGGCCTTACAGTCGAGTCATTGAATAGAATTACCTGTCTCTGTAAAACTTGAAAAATCATGAGGACTGATCTCAGAGCTGTATAGGAGCCTCTCTAATGTAGCCAGATTCTTTATAACTGTTATGTGTTTCAGGTAAACTGTGATCAAAATTTATCAGACTTCTAGTACAGATACTAGATTTTTGAAGATAAAATCTTTTCTATCTCCATAAAAAAACAATCAAATTAGATTACATAGTGAATCTCTTCATTACCATTCCATCACCCATAAATGTAGCTCACCTTAGACTTGAAGAGCAAACAAGAAATTGGGATTATGCCCTCTTAAGGCCTGTTGGGCATGGATCTGGACATTTTTTAAAATTTTTATCTTGTTATGGGTTTTATGCTGTCTACCATTAAAGGAATTACATAATCCCTTTTACCCATGTTTTTCTTTCAATTTCCAGCTTTTTTTTTTTTAACTATTTTTCTTACTAAGTTATATTAAAAATTAGCTTTTACTTGAAAAGTTAAAGCTTCAAAAGACTTCTTTATTTCACAGAACATGCAAGGGGGTACCAAACTACATGGTCAACTGGGCCATGGAGACAAAGCTTCCTATCGACAACCAAAGCATGTGGAAAAGTTGCAAGGCAAAGCTATCCGTCAGGTGTCGTGTGGTGAAGATTTTACGGTCTGTGTAACAGGTAAACGATTAGCAGAAAGCATCTGAGTTCATTTAACCAGCATTGTGCTTAATGCTGTGCAGTTTTAGTCGGAGTTATATGACAAAAGACAGTATCCAAAGAACCAAAAGATACTGAGCAGGTATAGTCATTCATTAATGTTGTCATTGGACATTCCTAACTTGGTATAGTATTAGGGAGTCTGAGTGATAAATAAGGAGAAGGCAGGTAAATAACAGAAGAGTTGGGATTAGGAGAAATGTGTTCTGTATCCCATGGAGGGGGCTGGTCCAGGAGCAGGAGATAATCTCACTGCCTCTTCATGCTGTGGATAGCACAAACCCAGGATCAAGAGCTAAATTTAGGTTTGGTCTTATTACTCACTTTATGATTCCTTGTACTTCCCTTTTCATCTATAAAATAGAGAAGGCCCCAGCTTTTAACATGATAGTATTACCACTTTTAATTTTTTATATTTTTGAGATGGAGTCTCGCAATATTGCACAGGATGGCTCAAACTCATGATCCTCCAGACTCACCCTCCCAATTAGCTGGGATTACAGGCAGGTACTACCACTTCTGGCTTATACTACCACTTTTTAAACTGTTTATTACAATAATATTACACATAGGTCCTTAGAGTACTGACAGCCCTAGACTTGAGCAGCCTGTCCCTCTGATTTCTCTGATGTAATCATCTCATGTAAGATCACTGGCTGAAGTAGTGCTCATTCTAGCCCTGCTCACCTTTCTGATTAGACAAAATAAGTCAGTCTCCTGATGGGTTGTCTTTCTTCCTTTTGCAGATGAGGGTCAGCTCTATGCCTTTGGATCAGATTATTATGGTTGCATAGGGGTAGACAAGATTGCTGGCTCTGAAGTGCTAGAGCCCATGCAGTTGAACTTCTTCCTCAGCAATCCAGTGGAGCAGGTCTCCTGTGGGGATAATCACGTGGTGGTCCTGACACGAAACAAGGAAGTCTATTCTTGGGGCTGTGGCGAACATGGTATGTGCAGCCTTGTCTCTCTAATTCTTCCCAGGAGTACAACCTGTGTGCATCTAGACATGACCCAGCCTTTGTTCAAGAAGTGTTAATTCAGTAAAAGAGAATCTTATAGAAAATCTTCTTTAGGAAGAAGGTCCTCATCATGATAACTTTCTTCATTGTGTGTGTTTCAGGACGACTGGGTTTGGATTCAGAAGAGGATTATTATACACCACAGAGGGTAAAATAAGAAACAGCTTTTTCTTTTTTTCTTTTTTTTTGGTACCAGGGATCGAACTCAGGTCCTTGCTCCTGCACAGCAGGCAGCAAAACCACTGAGCTAAATCTCCAGCCCTGAAGCAGCTTTTTCTTTTTTTTTTTTTGGTACTGGGGATTGAACTCAAGTCCTTGCACTTGCGCAGCAGGCGGCGATAAGCAGCTTTTTCTTAATACCTAAGTCACACAGCCTCCAAAAATACATCCTCTTTTCCTGAGTCCTCCTATCAAGGTGTTTATTTCTGAAATATTTCCTGTCTTGGAGGCTAGCAATCTAGGATTCCTGATTTAGCACTATGTGATCTTGTCATCTGACTGAATCATAGAAAGTTGAGACAGTGCATACAGCTGCTGTGGACACTGTGGAGTCACATCTTACCCAGGGATGAGAGCTAAAATCATCAAGTACAATGGGAAAGTCACATATACCTGACTATTCTGTGAAAAAGTTCTCGAGAAAGTGTTAGAGAGATGTACTGTCTCTTTTTTTTTTTTTTTTTGGTACCAGGGATCGAACTCTGGTCCTTGCACTTGCAAGGCAGGCGGTAGAACCACTGAGCTAAATCCCCAGCCCCGATGTACTATCTCTTGACCCAACACAGCCGTTTTCCCTTCCTATTTATACAACTGAACGCCAATTGAAGTTGTTTTTGTTTGGGGGTCCTGTGGTGTGAAGTACAGTATCTGATTACTGTCAGAACTGCCAGAGCTGGCACTGTGAGAGACTCACAGGAACTGAAACCAGCTGAGAGAAAAGCCAGTCTCTCCCATCCGCCCAGGGCTCAAGCTCCCCACTGTGGGTGAAAGGGTAACTATAATTGACTGTGTTAGTTATTGTTAGCAGTTTTTATTTACATCTAAAAAATAAATTCCATGTCTGTGGGGACCATCCTCTGTGGGATTCACTGCTGTTGCTCTTCTAAAGCTGTAATAGAAACTGAGGCTCAAGGGTTCAGTTTTCCCACGTTAGCTGTAGAAAGATGTGAACATTTCACAGTCCTAATTACTACCTCAGCACTCTGCAGCCTCTCTTACAAAGTGACCTGATTGGAACCCACTGGCTGCCGAGTTTCTTCTGTCAAGGAGCTCTCATCTCAGAGGACAAAGCCCACAAGATATTGAAGCTTCTCCTTTGCCAACTTGTTCTGAGCAGTCTTCTTTCTCAGAAGTCTTGTCCTTTGATGGAGTAGAGCCTATTGCTGAGACAAATTGATCCTTCCTCTCTATTATAACACCTGAACTCCTGGATGAAAATACTAGACTCTGCTGGGCTGGTAGTTACACTCTGGGAGGCTGAGGCAGGAGGATCCCAAGTTTGAGACCACCCTAGGCGGCTTAGTGATTTAGTAAAACTTGGTCTCAAAAATTAAAAAGGGGCTGGGGTCACAGCCTAGTGTAAAGGCCTTTAGGTTCAATCCTCAGTACCAGAAACAAACAAAACTAGCTCCTAAGCTTTTGGGCAGATCAGAAGAGAGCAGATCAACCCTTACTGCCTTGTAGTCATTTTAGTGAATGCAGCATGTTATTTTGGAAAGGATTTAAGGTGCTTCTTTTGGTTTTTTCCTAGTACAAATTAAATATTTGTGCTTCTATTTTCTGATTTATTTTTTCCTTGCAGGTGGATGTTCCCAAGGCTTTGATTATTGTTGCAGTTCAGTGTGGTTCTGATGGGACCTTTCTGCTGACCCAGTCAGGCAAAGTCCTGGCCTGTGGACTCAATGAGTTCAACAAACTGGGTCTGAATCAGTGCATGTCAGGAATTATCAACCATGAAGTGAGTGCCCCATGGTGTCCTAACCACATCATCAGAACTTTTCTAGGTTGGACTTTCTCTGGGGTTATTGGTTAGTGACCATGGAATGTGACAATCTCTCAGACATTGTGTTCAGCAGAAGCTAGCCATAAAAGAGTATATACTGTATGATTACAGTTACAGAAGTTCAAGAAGAGGAAAAGGTAGCCAGACGTGGTGATGCACAGCTGTAATCTCAGCACTTGGGAGGCTGAGGCAAGAGGATCACTGTGAGTTTGAGGGCAGCCTGAACTACATAGTGAGTTCAAGGCCAGCCTGAACTGCATAGCAAGACCTTGTCTCAAAAAACAAAAGGAAAAAAAAGGCTGGGGATTCAGCTCAGTGGTTTTGCCACCTGCCTTACAAGCACAAGGTCCCGAGTTCGATCCCTGGTACCAAAAAAAGGAAAAGCAGAGGCAAAATTAACTTATGATGGCAGAAGTCAAAAATAATGATTAGTTCTGGGAGCACGGGTCCAAATACTAACAGAAGAGTTAAGAGGGATCCTCCAGTGATGGGAATGGTCTTTATCGTGATCGAGGTTGTGGTTTTATGAGTAGATATGTATAGAAAAATGTATCAAGCTGTGTGATGTTTTGCAGTATGATAGTTAAACCTCAATAAATAAATTGATTATAAAAAGTAAAATGTTAGTGGGGCATGGTGACGTACATCTATAGTCCCAGCACTTTGGGGGCTGAAGCAGAAGGGTTACAGTAAGTAACCCAGGCTTGGGCAACTTATGACTTAGTAAACCCTGAGTCAAAATAAAAAATAGAAAAAGAATTGGAAATGTACCTCAGTGCAGAGGCCCTGGATTCAATCTTCCATACCACCATAAATAAATAATTAATAAATATATAGATATATAGGTACATATATAAATAGAATGAAATGATAGAATCCAGGTTTTACTTTATTTTTGAAAGAGAAACAAGAAAATTAACATGAAAAAGAAACACTTCCATGAATAACCTCCTTGAGGAATTTTTTAGATTCTTTGATCCCCTATGGGCTTATTAAATATGATTACCATTTTCTGCCCCTTGAAGGATATCATGAAATTTGCCACTGATAGTAAAGTTACTTTCCGCTTTGTGTGTTAGTATAATGAGGTTTTGTCATTTCTTGTTTTTTTTGGTACCAGGGATCGAACTCAGCTCCTTGCGCTTGCGCAGCAGACAGTAAAACAACTGAGCAACATCCCCGGCCCCCAAGATTTTGTCATTTCTAAAAAATCAAGTTAAGAGAACCAAGGATTTAGCTCAGCGGGACTGTGCCTGCCTTGCAAGCTCAAGGTCCTGAGTTTGATCTCTGGTACCCAAAAAACACACACAGACACAAAAAATCAAATTAAGAGACAGAACTTTCCTAACATGATAAAAAATGTAAGGGTTTCTTCTTCTTCTTCGTCATCATCATCTTCGTCCTCATCTTCTTCTTCCTCGTCTTCCTCATCTTCCTCCCCCCTCCCCCTCTCCCCCCCCTTCCTCCTTCCTCCCTCCCTCCTCCTCTTCCTCTTCCTCTTCTTGTACTGGGTAATGAACCAAGCGCATTTGCACTAAGCTACATACTCAGCGGGTTTTCTTATTTTTTTAGTGTGAGGCAAGGTCTCACTAAGTCACTAAATTGCCCAGGCTGGACTTCAAACTTATAGTCCTCCTCCTACCTCAGCCTCCCAGAGTGCTGGAATTACATGGGTGTGCTACTATGCCCACCTAACAGTTAATTTTTAATCAGTCTGGGAAGTAGTGATTCTTACAAAAGTACAAACTCAGGGCAAGCCTGGAAAATGTCTGTATAGTTCAAAATGAATACTCAGAATTACTACTGCTTGATTTTGTGGTTTCTTAAAACATTGGATTTGTTGTGAGATCTTAAACTTACATGAGAAGATTTTTTTATACTAATTCAAATGGAATGTGGGTTTTAAAAGTTGTGAAACACTACCCTGCTGGTGAAATTAGATCACAGTAAGTTCTCTGTAGGCAGAAGAAACTCTTCAGGATTTTAAACCTTTACCTCTGCAATGGAGAGTTCATGTGTTACACACATTCCAAATACATATAAAAATTTGTTTTCAGAAAGTCCTGCCTCATATGCTTTTTCTTCTTGTATCCTAGTTTTTTGTTTTTTGTTTTTTCAGTACTGGGAATGGAACTCAGGACCTTGCACTTGCAAGACAGGTGACAGAACCACTGAGCTTAATCCCCGGCATTGTATCCTGTTGTAGAAAACTACCCAGAACTTCCTCTTAGTAACACAGTTTCTTTGAAAGTCACCATGACCCTTTTCCTGATTGTCCCTTCATTTTTTACTTCATAAGACTGCTTTGCATTTCACTTGTTTCAGGCATACCACGAAGTTCCCTACACAACCTCTTTTACCTTGGCCAAACAGTTGTCCTTTTATAAAATCCGTACCATTGCCCCAGGCAAGACTCACACAGCTGCTATTGATGGTAAGTTGGTTTCTAGCTGTATTACATGTCTGCGGAAGTCGTTCTTTTATTCCATCAAATATTAGCTTTTCCTAACAATATATGCATCCGCCTGATTTCCCCTTAATATTCAGTATTATCTCTTTAATGAATTAGGCTTCAAGAACACAATTTTTGCTGATAATTAGTATAAATGCCTGATAAATATATTCCTTAATGAGAACACCACATCTACAACACATGGCTTCCATTTTCTCTAGCACCATCTATAAGTATTCAGAGTTAGGTACTACCCATTTTCCGCATTAAAAATGCAGTACTAGAGAGAAAGTACACTATTGAGTTGTTTACTGGTCCTGCCTGGTCACAGTACCTAGATAGCAGGTCCAGGATCATGTGGCTAGCTTCACATTTGTATGTTCTAGCAAGCACAAGCTAGTGCATGGAGTTCTGCATTGGCTGCACCTTGCTTGTTCCATGACCCATTTGTGCTTAATTGTCTTATTTTTGCCTCTCTTTCAGAGCGAGGCCGGTTGCTGACATTTGGCTGCAATAAGTGTGGGCAGCTGGGTGTTGGGAATTATAAGAAGCGCCTGGGAATCAACCTGTTGGGAGGACCCCTGGGTGGGAAGCAAGTGATCAGGGTCTCCTGCGGTGATGAGTTCACCATTGCTGCCACTGATGGTGAGTCTGTGCATGTCAGTTCAGGCTTTCTGGATATGTTGTAGTTCTTAATTGGGAAAAAGATGGAGTCATTTTTGTGCAGCTGGATCATGCTTTTACTTTTATGCATATTAGGCTACATTAACTTTTCATGTGTCCAATATGGTGGATTTTTCTAGATAATGACAAGTTAATATTCTAAATTCATTCTCCTTTAATTTTTTATTTTATTTTTTGGTACTGGGGATCAAACTCAGGACCTTGCGCTTGCAAGGTAGCCACTGGCGCCACTGAGCTAAATCCCCGCCCCCTTCCTCCTTTAATTTTAACTAATTTTTTTGGTAAAACATTTCAGAATTATTAAATACTTCTATTGGTATCTTGCCCACACCACGTTGGTTTCAGTAAACATGGCTGGAGAGAATAATACAGGCAAAACTTTCAGGTGCGATGATAGAAGCCACCAACTTCTCCCAGGCCAATCCTGCCTCCAAAGTGAGGAGACACATTCCTTAAATGCTCCCTGTACCCTGACCACTTTATATCACCACCCAACCTCCAGAATTTGTTCAACAGCCCCTCAACCTGCATGTGTAAAGATAGAATGGCCATGTAGCCTAGTTACCCTGTGTGAGTCCTCACACATATCTGTTGTCCTAGCATAATCATTAATAACACCCCCTTTCATTTAAAAATTGCCTTCGTTGGATAAGAATCAAAATTCTGGATTTATCATCTCAGACAAACTTAGTATATTCTGATATTCTGCCTAGACCTGTTCCTCTGCAGCCTTCCTATTGCAATAAATAGTAGGTCCATCAGTCAGTATGGAGATACCTCAAAGAACTAGGACTAGAGGTCCCATTTGACCCAGCTATTCCCCTGCTGGGTATCTTCCTAAAAGAATTAAAAGAATCATACCACAGTGATATATGTGCACCCATGTTTATAGCAGCACAGTTTGTAATAGCTAAAGCTTGGAAACAGCCCAAGTGCCCATCAACTGGAAACTGGACAAAGAAAATGTGTTTTTTTTATAAAATGGAGGACTACTCAGCCTTAAAGAACAAAAAACCAGAGTCATTTATAGCTAAATGGATTCATATCGAGGCCATACTCTTAAGTGAAATAAATAGGACACGTGTAAATACCGAATAGTTTCACTAGTGTGAGAAATCGATAGTGTAAACAAGGGTTAAAATGATTGAAATGAATAATTGATAATTTGAAATAGGAAAAAAGGTCCAAAGACGAAAGAGTGAAGGGAGGGGAAGGGAAAAGGAAAAACTATGAGAAAAGAAAAAAAATGGAAATGAAAGCTATGTAAATAGGGAAGGGTGGAGGGGGTGAAGGGCACACAGGTAATGGGGAAAAAAATAAGAACTAAGACATATCATGTACAGGTACAAACACCCAATGATAAATGTAAACGAATTGTATACCTAAAATGTACCAATAAAAAAACTTAAAAAAAAAAAATAGTAGGTCCATCTTACACCCTGCATTCCATCCATCAGCTCATCCCATGGACCATCTTCTGAATATGTCCGGCTTCTGGCTAACATCACCGCTATAGCTGATCTCCCTCCTTCCACCCTTGCTCCCATGCAGTTGCCTCTGCTCATCACAGCCTCAGGGATCCTTTTAAGTCATTTTTGCTCAGAACATCTAATGGTTTTCTACACCAGTCAGGAAAATCCAAAGTCATCATATTGGCCGGCCTGCATGGTCCCACATGACAGAGACTCTAGCCATCTCCTGATCTCTTCTGTAACCACTCCATCCTCCCTACTTTCTCCATCTGCAGGAGCCTCCTTACTCCATTTGTGCTATTGGCATTACCTATGCAACTTTGAGCTTACTGTTCTCTGCCTTTCTCTCACTTCAATCAGATCTCTGCTCAAGTTAGAAAAATACTTTTCTGACCACTCAAAAATAATGGGCCGGGGATTTAGCTCAGTGGTTCCAGCGCCTGCCTTGCAAGCACAAGGTCCCAAGTTCAATCCTCGGTACCAAAAATAATAATAATAATGAAACTCCATCCCACTATTATTTACTTTGCTTGTTTTTCATCACTGTTTATCTTTCTTCACAGCACTTATCACTATCTGAAATATTAGATATTAGGTACTATCAGTCTCCCCTACAGAATGATTGTTATACAGGAGCCAAAACTTTATTCTGTTCATTGCTCAGTCACCTTAAACAATGCCTGGCATAAAATAGATGCTCAGTAAATGTCTGAATGAGGGCCGGGGATTTAGCTCAGTGGCACAGCACCTGCCTCGCAAGTGCAAGGTCCCGAGTTCAATCCCTGGTACCAAAAAATAATAACAATAACAATAATAATAATAAATAAATGTTTGAATGAGTGACCATTAAAAAGTTGTTGAATGAGGACAGGGATTTAGCTCAGTGCTTCTGCCGCCTGCTCCACAAGTGCAAGGACCCGAGTTCAATCCCCGGTACCAAAAACAAAAGTTGTTGAATGAGTAAACAAATGAATGGCAGTACATAGGAACAATGATCATTTTTATCTTGGTGGGATCAGAAGGAATTTAAGCTTTATATGGAGGAGGGCCGGGGATTTGGTTCAGTGGTTCTGGCACCTGCTCTGCAAGCATAAGGTCCTGAGTTTGATCCCTTGTACCAAAAGAAAAAAAAAAGCTTTATATGGAGGAATAAACAGCTTTCCCTATCTTTCTAGCTCTAGAGCATCATAATGGGGAACCTGAAGAGTTGGGAAGATAATCTTCTGTGAAATGATCTGCTGTTTAACTTTTTCTCCTAGATAATCACATTTTTGCCTGGGGCAATGGTGGTAATGGCCGCCTGGCAATGACCCCCACTGAGAGACCCCATGGCTCTGATATCTGTACCTCATGGCCTCGCCCTATTTTTGGATCTCTGCATCATGTCCCAGATCTGTCTTGCCGTGGCTGGCACACCATTCTCATTGTTGGTAAGGGGTTCATATGTGTGGGGTTAGGATAGCTTTGACAGGACTGACCCACAGCTAAGGTACTGATGGACTGATGGTCACATTCTTAGAACAGAAGTGTCCTGAAGAAAAGAGGCAATTTCTCTAATCCTCAGGGATCCCATGCCTAGTGCTAGGAACAGAACATTATTATTTTCCAAGCTTTGTCATTTGCCTTCTCTTGGTCTTATGGCCATTTTTTAATGTAACTGTGGACTCTGCCACCCCCATAGAATTTGTTACTTCGACTTAAATCATTAATTAATTTTTTACCTGTGTTCATACTTTCTTGAAAAACATTTAGCACATCTTTTAAAAAGAAAATTCATGAATGCTTTTTGCATGAATAGTACTTTGAATTAAATTTTCAAAGTCTTGAAAGGGTTGGCAGATTCATTATATCTTGGTTCCACATTAGAATTCCCAGGGGGCTTTTACAAATCCTACTCCTGACCTTATCCCTGACCATTTAAACCAGAGTCTCTGGGATGGGACCTAGGCATTGTTACTGTGTAAAGCTTCCCAAACAGCAAAGGTGGAGAATTGCCATTTTAGATAGAGTAGCTAGTGGTGTTTGGTTTGTAAGATTAATTTCTAAACAGTAAACATAGTCATCTGGACTCAGGGATTATCTCCTATATTATATCCCTCTCCTAGTCTCCCCTCACTTTCCTGTCTTTGTCTGTATACAATGTTTACCTATTCACTATTTTTCCTCAGAGAAAGTATTGAATTCTAAGACCATCCGTTCTAATAGCAGCGGCCTCTCCATTGGAACTGGTATGTAGCGATATCTCAGGTACCAGTGGTTTCTGAATTGTGGATCTTTGGGTTATATTCCATGCAGTCTCTAAAACTCAAAGGAAAAATAGAAAATTTCTTTGGGGAATACAGAATACAGTGATTGAGAGGGAGGATCCTATTTTGGTAAGTTTCACAGTAAGTCATGGCTTACATTGTGGTCAGAGGGAGAGTACATCTTCTTTGCTTCCATGCATATGGAAGTAATTAAATAGCTTACCCCACACTATAATGTAATTTATGTAGTATTCCTTTTCTTACAATCCGAGGGGCCGTGGGTTCTCTCTGCCCTTTACTTCCATGGTATTCCCAGGGGTATTCCAGTCTAAAGAAATAGTCTTTCAGAATAGGTCCTCAAAAATAAAAGCCAGCTAAACTTTCAACATAGGAAAATCAGCCCAAAGGTCTCTAATAGTTTTCCCTTGACTACTTTCTTCAGGAGTCTCTGTTATTTGGGACTATGCCAAGAAATTGAATCTGGTTCTTTCTAGTTTTCTACCTGCTAGAGTCCCCGTGGACTCTAGCAGACTTACTGATGCTGATATGTTTTGGGACCAAAAAGATGAACACCCAGAATAAAAGCACATTAATTCCTCAAAAATAAACAGTTAAAAAATCTGATCTGTGATTGTTAAACATTAATTTATACATACAGATACCCCTGTTACATCTTTTATTGTTTTCTTAAGTAATCTACTATTCAGCATCTTTATTTATACACATTAATCCCTGTAATAAATGATTAAATATCTTTTTGTTAAGCATGGTTATTCTTTACAACTTTCTTTGCTAGAATAGTATTTGAAAGAAAAACATAATATTAAAAGCAAATGTCCATTAGACAGAAAATGTAAATTCAAGTAAGAGCAGGAACTTTTTTCTTTTTTCTTTTTTTTTTTTTTTTTTTTTTGGTACCGGGGATTGAACTTGGGACCTTGCGCTTGCGAGGCAGGCGCCAGAACCACTGAGCTAAATCCCTGGCCCAACTTTTTTCTTTTTTATTCATTAATTTTATCCACATGGCATAGAACAGTATCTGGTAAATACTAAACACTCAGTAAATATTTGTTGATTGAATGTGTTCTACCCATATATTGGACTGGTTTTTGTACAGGAGTGAAAATATCTGCAAATATTTTGATAATGTGAAATACAGAAAGCAAGTTGCAGCAGACCATGTATCTTTTTATAAAGTTTAAAAACAAGCGAAATAAATGATGTATTGTTTAAGGATGCACAAATACATAGTAGTTGCTGGGTGTGCTGGTGCAAGCCTATAATCCCAGCACTTGGGAGGCTGAGGCAGGATTGCCATGCGTTTGAGACCAGCCTGGGCAACAAAGTGAGTTTAAGGCCAGCCTGAATTGCATAGCAAGACCCTGTCACAAAAACAGACAACAACAACAACAAAAACACAAATACATGGTAGAATCTTTTAAGAAGAATTGATATATACAAAATTAATTAGACTTGGGGCGGGGATTTAGCTCAGTGGTTTCGCTGCCTGCTGCGCAAGCGCAAGGACCCGAGTTTGATCCCTGGTACCAAAAAAAAAAAAATAATAATAATTAGACTAGTTTCATCTGGTTAGGAGGCCAGAGAAGGAAATTCTGTAATTTCCAGCTCATATGCAGTGATACAGACAGCAGATCCAGTAGAGGTTCCTGCGAAAGTAGGAATATTCTCTGTGCTGTCCAGAATAGTGGCTCATAGCCTTGTGACTATTGACCACTCAAGAGTATGGCTAGTATAACTGAGGAACTAATTTTATTTAAATTTAAATGGCTACATATGACCAGTGACTACCACATGGGAAGTACCGTTCTTGTTCTTTAGTGACCACATCATGTATGTTTATTTTACTGCTAAACATCAAAATGTGCACATATGTTAAAAATGGTCTTGCTAGGCATGGTGGCACACACTTGTAATCCCAGCACTTGGGATTCTGAGGCAAGAGGATCTCCACAAGTTCGAGGCCAGCCGGGTCTACATAGTGAGTTCAAGGACAGCCTGAACTACATAGCAAGACCTTGTCACCAGGGCTGGGGATTTAGCTCAGTGGTGCTGCTGCCTGCCTCACAAACACAAGTTCCTGAGTTCAGTCCCCGGTACCAAAGACCTTGTCTCCAAAATAATTAATTAATTAATTAAATTTAAAAATAGTCTTGTTTGGCTACTTCAGTAGATCATAGCGTGGCAGTCAGTCAAGCTGATGTTGCAGGGTACGACAAATAGTCCTTTCCATGTAATCTTAGAATATACCATGTAGTTTTTTTTAGGTTTGGAAAATTTACTGTCTTATATTTTTCTTTGATCCATACTAAAATTCACATACCAGCTAGTCTTCACTACAGCAGCTTGGAATTTACTGCGTGACAGGAAAAAGACAGTCACAATATTCTAAAAATTCATATAACTAGTCTTCAAAGAATTTAATACTTACATGATGAAGAATTCATCATTTGGCTGTTTCTAAACAAGAAGTTTCTGTGGTTTATCTGGCAACTTGGAGAAGTGTTTGATTCAAATGTCAAAGAACTTTTTTTTTTTTTTTGGTACCGGGCATCGAACTCGGGTCCTTGCCCTTGCGCAGCAGGCGGCGAAACCACTGAGCTACATCCCCGGCCCAAAGAACTTTTTATATAAGACAAATGTCAATGAAGGATGCTGGAGTCTGAATGGATCTGTTAAAGATGCAGAGTAAGACTAGGTGCAGTAATCGCAGCCACTTGGGAGGGTGAGAGGCAAGAGGATTGAAAGTTTGGGGCCAGCCTGGGTAATTTAGCAATACCCTGTCTCAGAATAAAAAATAAAAAGGGTTGGGTGCATGGCTCAGTGGTAGAGTACCCTTGGGTCCCATCTCCAGTACTACATACACACACACACACACACACACACACACACATACACACACGATGCAGAACAAGCATGGTGACATGTGGTTTAGGGGATTGTTTAGTATTGTATTAGAATATTGGTAATATGTATGGATATAGGATAAACAAGTTTGGAAATGAGTTATCTTCATGAAGATCCTGATACATAAATACCATATTTAAAAACTAACAATTTACTCTGAGATAGCTGACTTGTACTGTTGCCATTCCACTTCATGCAATTCTGGGACTGTCAGATGGTAAGTCTCTCTTGCTGCATAGTAACACTCTACTTCTGTGCTTTGTATGTGCCAGTGGTTCAGAGTTCTAGCCCAGGAAGTGGTGGTGGTGGTGAGGAAGAGGACAGTCAGCAGGAATCTGAAACTCCTGATCCAAGTGGAGGCTTTCGAGGAACAATGGAAGCAGACCGAGGAATAGAAGGTTTCATCAGTCCCACAGAACCCATGGGGAATAGTTGTGGGGCCAGCAGCTCCTGTCCTGGCTGGCTTCGAAAGGTAATCCCCCTTCCCCCTTTTTTTTTTTGAGACAGGGTCTCACTTTAGTTTAGGCTGGTCCTGAACTCACTATATAGCCCAGGCGGGCTCGAACTTGCAGTGATCTTCCCACCTCAGCCTCCTGAGTCCTAGGATTATAGGCATGTTCAAAAAGTAATTCCTGGGGCCAGGGATTTAGCTCAGTGGTTCCGCCACCTGCCTTGCAAGTGCAAGGTCCTGAGTTCGATCCCTGGTACCAAAAAAAAAAAAGAAAAGAAAAAGTAATTCCTTAGAAGAGATGCCTCAGATAAAATATCAGGCCATTTGCAGGGACTAGAAAAGAATGTCTTATTAAACTGTTTTACCACAAGAAATCTAAATTTCTGATTTTTACCTAGAAATAAAATCACAAAATCATTAATCCTTTTTTTCTTTCTAACAAAAAGAGATGCAAAATATTCTCATACCTGTAATACTTAAATGGATGTAAATTAACATAACCTACCTTGGGGCCGGGGATTTAGCTCAGTGGTTCTGCTGCCTGCCTTGGAGCACAAGGTCCCAAGTTTGATTCCCGGTACCAAAAAAAACAAAAAAACAACAACATAACCTATCTTGAGGTGGGCATGGTGGCTCACACCTGTAATTGAAGCACTTGGGAGAGTGTGGCAGGAGAATTGCAAGTTCAAGCCCAACCTTGGCAATTTAGCGAGACTGTCTCAAACAATAAAGGGGGCTGGGAGCACATTGGGGGAGTAGCTCCTTTCAGAGGCCCTTGGGTTCAATCATCAGTACTAAAAAATTGCACTTTTTTTGTTTTTTGGTACCAGAGATTGAACTTGGGACCTTGTGCTTACGAGGCAGGCAGGGGAACCACTGAGCTAAATCCCTGGCCCAAAATTGCACTTTTTAATAGTGCACATGTGCGAAGATTAAGCTTATAGGTTTTTTACTATTGATAGAAGTGGAATAATGGGACAGTTGTAATGCCTTACAGTAAGAAAATGGTCTATGAAAGTTAAGGAGCAGATTATAAAAATGTTGAAGTATATTTATATGGCAAGTTGGTTAAGGGCTGGGGATTTAGCTCAGTGGGTCTGCTGCCTGCCTCACAAGCGCAAGATCCCAAGTTTGATCCCCAGTACCAAAAAAAAGAAAGTTGATTAAAACATCTACCTGTGCAGTAAAGGAAATATCTGTCAATATGACCTTATTCTTTCAGAAAATAAATAATCCCAGAAAAATGTGGACAAGACTGTATTTACTGATCGTTTTAAGCAATTATCTCTGAGTAATGAAATTGCTGCTGGTTTTTCTTAGCTTCCTTTGCCCATCTGTATTTTCTTATTCTGTACAATGAACCTTTATAGTTTCTGAAATTTTAAATTTTTTCCAAAAATAAAAAGATTTATAGATTTAAAGTTCCTTAACCAACAAGACTAAACTCGATAGTTATCTGAAGAGTATGAGCACAGGAAGTATCATGGCACCACCCCACTTGCCAATATCTTATGTAGAATAAATACTGGAGAAATACACCAGGCTCTGCAGACTGTCTCGAATTTGAGTTTGAATTTGCATCACTGCTGTGTTCTGTTGAAGGGATGGCACTTTGTTCCCAGGTAGGTCAAGATACGTTTTTAACCGCAGCTATCTGTCCACTAGGGGGTGCTGATGTCGTGAGACACCAAAAGCTGTGCAATTAGGGAGATAGTGAATTGTTTGTTGCAAACAGAACTGATGAGATTCTTTTCTTTCTCATGTACACAGGAGCTGGAAAATGCAGAATTCATTCCCATGCCAGATAGCTCATCTCCCCTAAGTGGAGCATTTTCTGAATCCGAGAAAGATACCCTGCCCTATGAAGAGCTGCAAGGACTCAAAGTAGCCTCCGAAGTGCTTGTGGAGCCTCAGCCCCCTGCAGGAGCCTGGGTAACTGTCCTCTGGGTGTCACTCTGTCTTTCAGCTTCATTGGTCCAGCTGCCCTGTGTCAAGTTCTCTCACTGCCCATCCATTTGTACTGAAAGCTTCTCTGCCCAAAGCTAAACTGCGTTACCTCAACAGATTTTACCCTCTCATAGTTCTGACAGACCACCTTCCTACACCAGAGGATTCTCTTTTTTTCTGTCTCAGCAGTACCGGAATTGAAGTTTCAGAATTCCGATTCAGCTTTTCATGATACTCCTAGGGTCGGCTGGAAGTTCTAAATATAAGTAGAACATAATGTTTTAGTCTAGTGAGGGAACAACCCATGTACACCTAACCTTGGTAGAAATAAAATTGCAGTAAACACCTCAATAAAACTCAAAACCAGGGGCCACCAAACTTTTTCTATACAAAGTCACAAAGTAATTTTAGATTTTGTGGGCCAGTCTCTGTGCAGCTATTCAGCTCTTACATTGCAGCACAAAAACAGTCACAGACACAGGCTGAGTACTCCTTATCCAAAGTGCTTGGGACCAGTGTTTTGGATTTTGGATTATTTGGATTTTGGAATATTTGCATATATACATAATTAGATCTTGAGGATGGAACCCAAGACTTAACACAGAATTAATTTATATTTCACATACGTCTTATACCTACAAGCCTGAAGGTAATTTTATATAGTATTTCAGTGTATCTGCTTTTTGACTACAACTTGTTACATGAGGTCAAATGAATTTTCCATTTGTGGCATCATGTCAGTGCTCAGAAAGGGTAGGATTTTGGAGCATTTCCAATTTTCAGATTAGGGATTTTCAAACTGGAATACATAACACAGGAGTTGAGTACATGCCTGTGTTTCAGTAAAACTTTACTTACATAAACAGGCAGTAGGCCAGAATTGGCCAATGGGGTGTATTTTGTTGACCTTGGCCATAAAGTACAGTAGAAGGAGGAGAAAAATCCAGACTGAGATAATTGAAAACCTTCCCAGAAAAGGTAATAAAACCTTTGAAACTTCAAGGTGAACGTTTGCATTCCAGTTGGTTAGCTTTTTTGAATTTGCTGGTAGTCCTTACTGAACACCTCTTGTATCTTTTCTACAGTGTGACCTCCACATTTCATGAGTATTGACTCTTTTGGATCACAGTGTCCTCACTGTGAACAGGACTTGTTTCAAACCAAATCATGCTTTTCCCCACTGCAACATTTTAAATGAGAACATATCAACACACTTTAAAACTTTTTTCACAAAATCCTCCAAAGTAAGGTACTGTTGTTCACATTAGCCTAATGGGGACTGAGGCATTGAGAATTCCTGTGCTTCCTCAGTGCCAGGTGCTGTTGTAATCCCAGCATTCTTCTGTTTCTCTTCCACTTCTCCATATGTATATATGTCCTATCGTACTAATTTGAAAGTAAATCTGTTTGGACTGGGGAGATGTGCTCCTAGAGCAGACCCTCCTACAATCTGTCCCTCTTGTCTCTAGCCACCCCTGCTGACTGCCGAAGTACCCTGTTCTGGGAAGGGAACACCATTGACCCCTCCTGCCTGTGCATGTAGCACTCTGCAGGTGGAGGTTGAGAGATTGCAGGGTCTGGTGTTAAAGTGTCTGGCTGAACAACAGAAGCTACAGCAAGAAAACCTCCAGATTTTTACCCAACTACAGAAGCTGAACAAGAAATTAGAAGGAGGTCAGCAGGTAAGAGCATTAAGAGAGTAATTCAATTTCTAAGTCTGTTTTGAGGACTTACAGAAACAAAACACCAAGACTTACTGCTCTGCATGTCCTCACCTTTGAATGATGTGACTTTTGTAATTAATCCCAGAAGCCTTAGACATTCAGGCACCTGGACAGAATCATTCTCTTCACCAAACTCTATTTTTTTTTTTTTAGTTACTGTTTGTTGTTACTGTTTGTTTTTTCTTTTACTTTTTACTATGAAAAATTTTTTATTTCCATTTACTTATTTATTTAGGTACCGGGGATCGAACTTGGGACCTTGTGCTTGCGAGACAGGCACCGGAACCACTGAGCTAAATCCCCAGCCCCTACTATGAAAAATTTTAAACATTACAGTAAACACCCAATGTACTCACCATCTAGATTCAATGGTTTTTGGGGCTGGGGATTTAATGCTCAGTGGTGCCACCACCTGCCTCACAAGAGCAAGGTCCTGAGTTCAATCCCTGGTACCAAAAAAAGAAAGAAATAGATTCAGTGGTTTTTAACATGTTGCTATATTGTTTACTCTGTGTCTATAATATATAAAATATTATACATTTTGCTGAAGCTTTTTTTTTTGTACTGGGGATCAAACTCAGGTCCTTCCAATTTCGAGGCAGGCAGCAGAACCACTGAGCTAAATCCCCGCCCCTGAAGCATTTTAAAGTAAATTATAAAAATCATTTGTAGGGCTGAGGATTTAGCTCAGTGATACCACGCCTGCCTCACAAGCGCAAGGTCCTGAGTTTGATTTTTGCTACCACCCCCAAAATCATTTGTAGTCCCCCTAAGTAAGCCCTTCAAAAATAAAGATGCTCATTCTTCTGGACAACCACAATATTATTATCACACACACCTAACAACACTAACATTCTCAATTTTCATTTAGTACCCAGTGGATAATTTGAATTTTCCCGTTTTCCCACAAAAATATCCTTTATTAGAATCCAGTCAAAAGCCCCACATTCCATTTGGTTATGTCTCATTTTAATCTAGAACAATTGCCTCTGCTACAACCACAACCACTACCACTCTTTTTATATATTTTAACATCATTGGCTGCAAGAAATAAGGCCAGTTGTTTAACAAAATGTCCCACATTCTGTATTTGTCCTGTTTTCCTGGGATGTTAACACATTTCTGTTACCTGTCTTTTTTTTTTTTTTTTTTTTGGTACTGGGGATCGAACTCAGGTCCTTGTGCTTAAGCAGCAGGCAGCGAAACCACTGAGCTAAATCCCCGGCCCTGTTACCTGTCTTTTCGGAAAACTAGAATTTAGATTTAAAGCTTGATTAGATTTAGTTAAATATTTTTGGAAAAATGCTTCACAGATAATGCTGCTCACACTGTTTTTAAGGAGGCATGGTATTGCCAGGCACCATGGTATATGCTTATAATCCCAAGCAAGGCTGAGACCAAAGGATCACAAGTTTGAGACCAGCATGGGCAACATAGTGAGACCATCTCAAAATTTTAAATGGGGGGTGGATAGGGATGTAATTCTGAGGTGGAGCACTTGCCTAGTGTGTGAGAGGCCCTAGGTTCAGTCCCCAGCACTACAAAAATAAATAAATAAACAATGAATTAAATGGTTATTTCTCTACATAAAGTTAACTAGGAATAGGAAAGTAGATTCAGCCTGTAGCTTTGCCATCTACCAGTTATTTGTGTTTGGACTTATTATTACTTTGTTTCTATGAGCTGAGCCCTAGTTTCTCACTTTAAAGAAGAAAATACTACCTACCCTGTATGATTGTTTTAAGTGAAATAATGTCTATGAAAATACTTTAGAAAGTAATAGACACACTTAAAGTAAGACTGGCAGCTGTAACAGGCAAGAAGATTGTTTTGCCCAGGACTTTTTCAATTTTAAAATTGAGAGTTCTGCAGTTTAGAACACCCTGCAGTCCTAGGTAAACCACAACAGTTGATCACCCTATCTGCAATGAATGTGCAAGTGTGCACTTCTGTGTGTGTGGAGAGAGGATACTAGGGATTGAACTCAGGGCCTTTGCACTGAACCACATCCCCCACCCTTTTCTTATCATTTATTTTGAGATACAGAGTCTTGCTAAGTCACTTAGTTGCCCAGGCTGGGCTTAAATTTGTGATCTTCCTGCCTCGGCTTCCGCTGGGATTACAAGTGTGAACTTTTTCTAAGGTAGTACTGTGAGCTTTCCACAGGACTGTAGCTATAAGTCTTTAGAGGCAGCATTGAAAATCTCATCCTGAACTGCTGTGACCAGGTGCTACTGTTGCTAATGTGGAACTGTGTTCTATCTGAACAGGTGGGGATGCATTCCAAAGGAACTCAGACAGCAAAGGAAGAGATGGAAATGGATCCAAAGCCTGACCTAGATTCAGATTCCTCCTGGTGCCTCCTGGGAACAGAGTCCTGTCGATCCAGCCTCTAGTCTCCTGAGCCTACATAGCCCCCAGGAAACTGGGATCCAAAGAACTTCACAGCACACTTACTGAGTGCAGAAAGCAGCTTTCCTGGCTTTGTTCACTTGCAGACAAGGGGCGCAAGGCAGAGGCTCTGAAGCACTTTCCTTGTACATTTGGAGAGTGGCATTGCCTTTTAGATAGGATCTAGAGTGATTTTCTTGTTTTGGAGAATAGAAGGGCCCTGTAGCCCTGGCTTTGTCATCAGTGACTGCCACAGCAGCAGCAGCTCTGTACCTCATCTGTTGATCCCACCTTTGAAGAAGAGACACAGTGTTCACTTTAATTGCGCTGTTAGCAGCTCATATCTCATTTATCATTTTCACCATTGATTCTAAGCTGCCTTGGGAATTCAGCACCAGGCATTGCACCTCTGGATGGGGAGGGAAAAGTGGAAAGCTGGAGTAGGCTAGGATCAGGCACGGCCTTCCCAGGGTCCTCTGGAGAATAGTAAAGTATTCTGAGCCCTCTCAGGAGCCTTGAGTCCAGGAAAATTTGGTGGACTCAATCTAGGGTGAGTTTTCAGAAAGTTCAGTTACTTCATGCAGCTAAATGCTTTAGGAGGAAAAGTAGGTTTAGATTGCTTTTCCTCTGAAGGTTGATGAAATGCGTTTAATGAGAAATAGAGAAAAGGCAGATCCATCCTCATCACACAGCTTGGGTTTCAGGCTGTGCCAGGTACAGGGTGGGATTTCCCAGCTCTGAAAAATGTCTCTGAAGAAGGAAGGAGAGTCTCAGAGAATTGGGTCAGGCGCCTTAGGCAAGAGCCTTAGGACGAAATGGAGAGGGGAGGAGTGCCTGCTTCAGTGCTTCTACCTGGCTGTGACACCAAGTCTTCTGCCCTGGCAAGGCTTCTTGTGCCTCTGCCATCATGGCTCTGGGGAGTCATGGCTCTGATCTTGACGTCAGTAGCCCCAGCCCCTCCCTCTCTGTATGTCTAGTCAGTATTTCTCTCCTTTTGGTGTTTTTTGAAGCCATGTTATAACCAGTGAATCTGTATCATCTTTTCTACTTGAGTGGCCCAAAGCCAGCACGAAATCCTGGGGGTCCAGGAAGCCTAATAGAACAGGTAGAACCTGCCAAGTAAAAGGAATTTGGCTCCACCCTCGCTTCTGTTGTGTCCTTGTAGTCAAGAGCAAACCAGCTTTCCCAAAGGGAAACAGTAAAGAATAAAACTACATATAGGTAGTTTTAGACGAGTGGTTGATGGTTTCCCTTAAGGATGTGAGTGTTGTATTCCCATAAAGCCTTATGAAATGTTCCTGTATTTTGGGTCACAGGAGCTATTTTGATGAGTTCATCCTTCCTCCATCTAAAGAGCTAATTAATTTTGTTTCATTTTCCCCAAATCAGTCTGTTTAATATTGCAGGAGGACCTGTCCAGGGGAAATTTTACCATCTCCCTAAAAC